TGGTTTCTTGGGCAGTTCACATCTGGGGTGTACATATTAGACAACAAATGGGCATCCATGTACTTAAACTTATATGAGTTTTAAAAAGTTTCCCTAGGATATATGTAGAGAAGAATTGCTTCATTATTTTACCTGAATGTTTTAACACCTTTTTGGGGATACATGTAGCCAAATATATATCTGTCTACAATAAGGAAAAGTGTGATTTATTTTGAAAATTAAACAGGGTTTGCCTTGTCACAGTCTTAGGAGAGAAATGTTGTTTATACCTTAGCCCATATTAGTGTTCTGAAGCGAATTAGTTACTTTCCATGGATTTTTGTGTAGGGTACGTTGGCCACTGGATAAGACTTGAAAGTCTTTTGCTTTGTTTTGGTTTCTGGCATGCTGTTCCATGGATCTTGGTGGTCTTGTGCTGGGCCTTGGGGCCCTGCCTCCATGGAGCTTCCTTCCTATACTGTCTCCTCTCTGCCCCTATCACCTCATTAGTGTCTCTCACCCAGAGGATTCAGATTCCAAAAATACTTGTTGAGTTAAGTGTTGGCAAGAGTGTGGGGAAATCCAAACGTGAACACACTGCCGTGGGAGTATTAATTGGTTCAGCCACTTTGAAGGCAATTTGGCAGCATCTATTAAAATGTAAAAGTGCCTACCCTGTGATTCAGCAATTACCCTTCTCTACATCTTCTCAAGAGAAACGTATGCACGTGTGCAGTGGTTCACTCTGCACTCGATCACGATAGTAAAAAGCTAGAAGCAACATAAATGGCTATCAACAGGGGAATGACTGAAAAACTGAAAAAAAAAATTCTGTGCTGTGCAATAGTTAAGGGAATGGTGTAGACCAGACACACACACACACACACAAAATTGGGTCCTATGGGACAAATCCAGGCCAGCAGAAGTATTATATTCACTTTGCATGGTATTCCTCCCATGTGTTCTATAACCATTTTGGCACAGTTGAATCTTGTTATTTGTGATAGATGTGTTCTGTAAAGTTACTGGGAACAGTGGATTAGAAAATACTGAACCATTGATCCTAGGGAAAATATAGGATTACAGTCCTGGGGGCCCCTGGTCACATCTCACCAATTAGTCAATGCATTATCTTGTTGGATGTCTATTTCCATTTAAAGATACCTTATTTTATATATATATATATATATATATATATATATATATACAAATCAATAATAATATAAATATAAATCAATAATGTATTTATATTATTGATTCATTAACATTGAACTCAGGGCCAACAGCTCTGTAACTAATGCCTCTGTGAAATTCACCTAATACGTATTCTTTCTCCGTAGAGCGCTCCACAGCTTTCTTGGTGTTGGGAATACTAGACAGCACTCAGCACTACTCTTGGGGCTTTCTGAAACAGTGAGGTCACTAACAAAAAAGTGCAAAGATGTAAAAATAGAATGTGAGAAGGATTCTTGCTTACAGTGATGGGAGCTGGGAAGGAGGAGGCAGAGAGCCTCCCCTTCAACCTCAGGTGGGAAGGGGCACACCACGCCACTCAAAAACTTTGCCACTCTGCATGTGACTGTAAATGACCATGAAAGTGCTATGAACACTGATTCTGAGATTGCAAATAAATTTTAGTGAATTGGTGAATTCACTAATACAGAATCTGTGAGTAATGAGGATTCCTTGTGTACATCTCTGAAATACAAGGACTCTTTTCAAAACACACCTCAATTGCCATTCTCATTCCTAGATTTCTTAGTTTTATAGAATATCTTAGGCATAGGTGATAGATTCTAACTTATCATAATGATTATTATTTGTTATTAATATGATTCATATTATTTCTGATGCTTAAATTGTCCCATCTTTGGCTAAAAGGAGTTTTTCCAAATTGGCTTAATCCCACACTTGATACAATTAGATGTTTCCAGCTCTTCTGTGTATTTCCTATACCTGACCTTGAATTAGCTATTTCTCCTAGAAGTTTTGGTTTCTTTTAATGAAATGGTACATGGAGATCCCAATATGAGTGCTAAAATGCTCACTGTTATTGACATTTTTCCCTGTTCCTAGTTATTTTGAGAGAATACAACTCGGAAATATTTGTCTTATAAAAATACATTATGAATTCGAATCAGGGTTTCCTTTCCATTTTCAGGATTATCTAATTTTTATTTAAGCTCTTCTGTCTTAATCGCATTTCCTTCTTCCCACAGCCCCAATCTTTGTTCTCAAAAACAACCTGGATGATAGAATATCACATAATTACAGGTAGTTTTCTCTCATGTTACAATACAGCCAATCTTAGAATAGTAAAACCAGCCACTACCACCAGCCATATTATTACTGAAAGCTATTGTTTTGTTGTTATTATTTTTGCAGTTCTTTTTACACTTAAGACACATTCCATTAGGGTTGTGCACATTTCTATGACTTCTGTCATTGCACCATAAAATGAATATGCTGTGAAGTTTGTTAATCTTGTGTGTGTGTATGTGTTTGTATTTTGGGATTAATATTTTAATATTTAATTTTGTCTTTAAATTATGTAAAATAATTACATGGTATCAAAGTCATATCTAAAAAAATAAATTTAACTAAGTTTACCTTTTAGACCTGTCTCATCCATTCTATTCTTTCCTTTCCCATATAGATAGCCATTAAAAATCTTTGATTCTTTCTTCCATTAAAAAGTAGAATTAAATCTGTATCTATCTATCTATCTATCTATCTATCTATCTATCTATCTATCTATCTATCTATCTATATCTTCCCTTTTATATCATAAAAAGTAGAATGTAATACACAATTGCATTGTATTTTTTGTTTTAAATTTTTTCCATTTTTTATTGGTGCATTATACTTGTACATAATGGAGGGGTATGTTGTTGCGTATTCATACATGCACATAATATAACAATATAATTTGGTCAATATAATTTCCCAATATTTTCCTTTTCCTTCTCCTCCTCCCTCTCCCAATCCCTTTACTCTCCATTTGATTTTCATGGAGACTCTCTCTCCACATTTCTTTTCTTTTTTCCTCTCTAGCTTCTATATATGAGAAGAAACATACAACTTTTGTTCCTCTGAATTTGACTTATTTTGCTTAACATGATGGTCTCAAGTTCAATCCATATTCCTGAAAATAACATAATTTTTCTTTATGGCTAAATAAAACTCCATTGTGTATACATACCACATTTTCTTTATCAATTCATCTTTTGTAAAATTACACAGTCATTTAATAATGAATGACACCTCGGCCAGTTCTGTAGTTTGGCTGCTATGAATTGTGCTGCTATAAACATGGGTAGGCATGTATCACTGTAGTAAGAAGCCTTTAATTCTTCAGGATAAATACAAAAAGTGGGATAGCTGGATCATATGGTGATTCCATGACTAGTCTTTTGAGGAACCTCCTACGGATTTCCATAGAGTTGTACTAATTTACCAATCCCATTAACATGTGCTGTATTTTAAAAATCATTTTAGCAATGGTGCTTGGATATTGCTCCATAGAAGATGGAGATATTCTTTCTTCCTTGTTGTTATTATTATGATTTGCAGTAATGACATCAAACCCAGGGCTTCATGTATATTAGGCAAGCACTCTACAACTGAGCTATATTCCCAACCCTTTTTATTGTATTTCAGGGCAGGATATCACTAAATTGCTGCCCTTGAACTTGAGATCTTTCCATCTCAGCCTTCGGAGTAGCTGGGATTAATCTACACCACCACTCCTAGCTACATTCCTTACCATAGTTGTATAGAGCTCTTTCATGTGAACGTATCATAATTCATTTAACCAGTCCCAATTGTGACACTTGGATTCTGTCTTAGCTGTCATAATAATTAGTGCTGCAACTAGGGACCTTGTACATATATCTCCTTCGAGGTTTTACCAGTACATATTTAGGGTCACTTCCTACAAGTATGATCATTGAGTTAAAAGACTAATGAATATGTAATTTTACTAGATACCTTCAAATTCTCCTTCACAAGGATTATACCATTTTTCATTCCTTCTAGCAGTGAACACAACAGTGCACTATTTTTTTTTTTTCCAGCTTCACCAACAGAATATACTGTTGAACATCTGGATTCTTCTAATCTTTGGATGGGTGAGAAATTGCATCCCAATGTAGTTTTAATTTGTATTTCTTTTATTATTGCCCAACTTTCCAAAGAAAATTAAAAAATGTAAGGACAACATGTACAATACACTTCATATAAAAACTGGGATTTCCATCTCTCTTGAAAAATTAATTTGGCAGCATTGAACCAACATTTCCATATGGCATATGGTTGGAACTGAGTTTGGGCATGTGTTTTTCCAGTGCAATAAAGACTCCACTCTGCCTCTTCACTGGATTACATTGCCTGCCTTTCCCTGTTGGCATTTCAATTTGTCACCTCAGTCCTTGGCTTGGAAGGTAGGTATATCAGTTATCTATGGCCACACACACACACACAAAAATGCTGCATAACAGTTGCAAAGCTGCAGAAGTGTGTGGTCCTGAGCATTTATTGCTGTTGCACGTGGGATACTTGGTGAGGTGGTTCTGCTGATGTGAGCTGGGTTCATGGACATCTGTGGGTGTTTCATTAGCTATCAACTGATCTAGATTGTGGTTATAATGGTATATGTACATAACACGACACCATGTATGTAAAACACTGGAGTGTATGGGATGATGTACTTTTTGTCTAGTTCAAGGCATGAGCTCTCACTGTCTAGGTTTCTGGTTGGCCCTATGTCCCAATTCGACCTCTATGTTCTGTTATTCCTCAGATCATCCTCATTCCCAAATTTCCCCTTTTTATTTTTATTTATTTTTATTTTTTTCTTTTTTCTTTTTTTTTTAAAGAGAGAGTGAGAGAGGAGAGAGAGAGAGAGAGAGAATTTTTAATATTTATTTTTTAGTTTTCGGCGGACACAACATCTTTGTTGGTATGTGGTGCTGAGTATCGAACCCGGGCCGCATGCATGCCAGGCGAGCGCGCTACCGCTTGAGCCACATCCCCAGCCCCAAATTTTCCCTTTTTCATCACATTCTGGGCACTTCAGTCTCAGGCATCTGCTCCAAATCAGCAGGATCCTTTTCTCTACTGGGGTCCTTTGGCTCTGTCAAAGATGAAAATGTAGTCTGATTCTGCATGAGGGGCATGGCTGGGAGAGAGAATGAATGTAGTTGTGTTGGTCTTAGAAAAGACTTATGTTCCCCAGGAGAAGGGGAAATTCTGGCAGAAAACCCCCTTTGGACTCAAAACTACAACTCTTCCCTGGATCTCCAGCCTGCCAGCTTACACAGCCTGATTTTGTACTTTGATAAGCCTCCACAAACACCGTGAGCCAATTTCTTAAGATCTCATTCTCTCTCTGTATGATGTGTGTATACATGTGTGTGTGTATTTATATATATGCATGTACATGTAAGCACATAATCATGTAATGCATAGTGAGATTTCAGTCAATGTCAATGAAGGGTCACTTGTATAATGGTGGTCCCTTAAGATTATAGTGGAGCTGAGAAATTTCTTTTGCTGAGGGACATGCTAGCCACTACATTGTCATGTAGTGTAGCATGTGTCTGTGGTGATGCTGGTGTAGATGAACCTACTGCCTTGCCAGGTGTTAAAGGTAGAGCACATATAATTATGTACAGTACATAATACTTGATAATAAATGATTATGTCATTGGTTTGTGTACTTACTATACTTTTAATTGGTATTTTGGAATATACTCCTACTTACAAAAAAAAGTTGACTATAAAATAGTCACCCTATTCTGCTGGCAGCAATCTCCTGTATCTCATGTTTACTGTCTCTTGACTGAATTGAGAGGCCACACTGGGTGACTGACCCTATACCACAGAAGATTGTGTGTAAGTACACTCGAGGATGTTTACCCATTGACAAAACCACCTCGTGACGTGTTTCCCAGACAGCCATGTGTTAAGCCATGCGTGACAGTATACATTCTGTTCCTCTGGAGAATCCTGACGATGGAATGTTGGTGGGCAAGGGCTTCCAACATGGGTTGTAACTTGTTTTTGCTTTATTGTCATTTGTTTTATTCTAAATCAATTTAAATATTACACATCATTATGAGACTCAAATTCCTTTGGTTTTGCATGGATGAATGACCACTCCTCACATAAACAAATTCTATGTCTTATCAATATGCTGACTTTTTTTCTTCTCACCTCCCACTCCCTGCTTGTCATAAGTCATACTACACAGATTTTTGGTATTAAATGACAACGAAGGGCCTCAACTCCAGATAAGTGTAACTCCTAGAATTTTCTCCTTTATAGGTGAGTTCACATGGTAGTGAGGGGGTACAAGGAACAGCATAAAAAGAAATCTTTTCATGATGCCACAGACTTTGAGAAGATCTTTGTGGTTTGTGTCCCCCAAATACTTAGCCCTTTCCTAAGTACCATTTATGTTCACCAATTGCCCTGGACTCAGGGGCTTGTCTGATTCAGGCCCAAACCGGTAAGGGTGATGGTAATGTAAGAGTGTTTTGAGCCACTTTGTATCATGAAACCTAACAGAATTTACACTTAAAAATGGAAGGCTCTTGTGTGTCCTGGGAATGGGGAATTTGATGCAAATGGTATCATTGAGATAAAATAACTCACTTTTGAAGATCCCGAGAGGAGATGAGGAAGATCTCAGTAGCAACATGGTACCAGAAAGGGCATAGAAGAGGGTGGCAACCTGCAACTATGATGGGCTTTCCAGACTCTCGTGCTTTATGGCAGCTGAGGCCCAGATGTTCTTCCTCCATCACCCTATTTTGCAAATATTCCAAGGAGCATGTATTCTGACAGGGCACTTTTGTGTCATAGGAACCTGTAGCTGGGAGGAGAAAGAAATGAAAGCACTTTGAGATGGGGACTGGTTTCTTAATTCTGCATGCCATGTGAAATGGTTAGGATATGAGTTGTCCCCAAAAGCTCATGTATGAGACATCACAAGAGTGTTCAGAGGTGATGTGATTAGATTGTGAGAGCTGTAACCTAATCGTGGATTAATTTATTGGATGTATTAGTCATTTTGAAAGACTACTGTGTTGGGTGGTAACTTGGGCAGATAGGGTGTGGATAGAGGAGGTAGTCACTGGGGGCATGTCTTTGGGGTTTATATTTTGTCCCTGGTGGATGGAACGCTCTCTCTCTCTCTCTCTCTCTCTCTTTCTCTGCTTCCTGGTGGTCATGAATTGAGCTACTTTCCTCTACCACTTCCTTCTGCCATAATGTTCTGCCTCACCTTGGGCCCAGAGCTAGAGCGTCAGCCAACCAGGGACTAAACCTCTGAAACCAAACTTTTCCCCCTTCAGGTTATTCTGGTCAGTTTTTTTGGTCACAGTGATACAGAGCTAACACTCTGTGGAAACAACAAATCATGACCAACATGCTCTGGAAATCCTTTTCTGAATTCTTTCCAATTGATGCCTTAGCAGAAAACAGGGGCATCACTTAAAAATAAATAATCACATGGTCCCTGAAACTCACTATGGGATGAACCAGGGCCTGATGGGCTTGGCTCCCCAAATTTCGGTCTCAGTTCCCAGATTTCCACATTAAACATCCCCCTGGGGTTGGGAGTTGGGGTGGGGGTGAATGGAGAAAGGAACAAGAAGGCAGAAGAGGTGGGAATGAATTGCAGTCTTCCACAGGCCCATTGCTTTTTGGAGAAGAGACCATTGAGCAAGCAGCCAGCATGGTTTTGCAGGCAGGTAGATCCAGGTGCAGATCAACGTCCTGCTGCCAGCAGTGTGACTGGAGTCACAGTGTCTAAGTCCCGGAGCCGTAGCTTCCTTGTTGTAGTAGTGACGAGAATAGTCACTACTGCACCAAGGTGCTGGTGGAGTGAGATCACCCTGTTCAGCCTCTGGCGCGGTGAGAGCAGCAGCTAGCTGTTGTTATTGGAAGCCTGATTGCAGCCCCATGAGGAGAGCCAAGCAGGGAGCCACTTGGAGCTCCTGTGAGGGGACGGGAAAGGGGCACAGGAGAGGAGAAGCACACTGTAGCCTGGCCAGGCAGTGGCAGATGGGGCTGAGAGGGGACTTCTTGCTTCCTGATCCCTGGCTCATTCTAATGAAAGGAACAGATTCTCGATAAGCCGTTACCTAAGTGATGGGTGAAAACAGAACAGCCCTGGGGACAGGTGTGTTCTTTGACTCGAGGCCACCTGGGCTTATCTGGACAGAGTCTTCAGCTGGCTTTTGCCCCTCCCATACGGCCTTCAGGACAGCGACACGCCCCTGGGTTGGTGCGTCTCTTTTTACAATGACTTTTCTCTCTGGTTTTCTTAGGACATAATGTTCTTGAATTATTCAGGTTTGCGTGTGTGTGTGTGTTGGTGGGGGGACCAGAGATTAATAGGTCTGAAGGGGGAAAACCCCATAAGGAGAATGAATCAGACAGCGATCCTTTCACATGGAGATACCTCTCACTCTCTCTCCTACACACACAAACACACACACACACACACACACACACACACACACACACACCCCTACCTCTTTCAGTCTTTGTTTTAATAAACTTGATGCTCTCTCCAGCTGCAGCAATCATGATACAGTCTTGATTTTTCCACATTACAAGAATCAGTTTTCACCACAAAAATGGAGTGACATTGAAGAACTGAGCCACTCTGTGTGACATAGCAACATGGAAGAGTGGCAATGTCAGTGGATTTGGGTACAGATGACCTGAGTTTGTATCCTGGACCCATACTCAAGGGGCTCTGTGATCTACAGCAAATTACTTATCTGAGTAACTTTGAGCCCAAGTTTCCTCATCTGTGTAAATGATCTTGGTTTGTTCACATTTTTTTTTTGGTGTGTGTGCCTCACGATTTTGCAATATTTGTGTTCTGGTTGAAACTGGAATTGTGATTTGTTTTGGGAGTGAGTCAGTACTGCACATCAATTTTGAAATGTTAGGCGATTACTTATAAACATACCTTGGAATGTTCTGGATTATTTCAGGGTATCAGGGAGCAGCATTTTCTGAGGTTCTATGTCAGGCAAGATAAAGAGGAACTGAAGCTTTTCGGATAAGGTGTTAGAAAGACCACTGACTCCAATTAAAATCAAATTAAAGCAAGCTTATTATTTCGACTGGCTGGGCTGCCTCTCCCACCAAAAACCACGGGAACAATACAGCCCTGCAGTTTTCTTGCAGCCCAGCTTTATAGCCCAGAAAGTTACTCAAAGGGGGGGGGGTGTTACAAAAAAGTCTGACAAGCTTAACACAAAGGCTAGTTTACATTTTTGCTGGCCCCGACATTGCTATACTTGAATTCGGGACCCCCAAAAGACCACCAGAGACCAAGATCGATGCAAGCAGCAAAGAGGTGTTTATTATGAGCTAGCTCGGTCCTCCACGCACACAGCAACTGATGATGCTGAGAGGCCCCAAGCCCAGGGATTGCAGCAGATTTAGACATTCTTTGGGGAAGGCAGGGAATTCACACACATCATAGCATCTCTCAGCAAATCATCACACACCACAGGAAAATCATAAAACAACTGTAAAACATGATTAGCACATTCACTGGCAGGAACAAGTTGGGTAGGGGTGATTGGTCAGTACAAGAGGGGGATTCGTTTGAACTGATTGGTTTAATCTGTGAGGGGAGTACGTGCTGAACTACATGGTTTCCCAACATGTTATCAACCACCATAAACTACTGGGAGAGTCATCTGGCATCCCAGGTATTTCCCTGTCTCATGTTGATTGGTGGCTGCTAGGGGGTTGCTATGGGTCCCCACGTAGCCTGACTGAGTCAGGGACACCTGGTGCAGCAGATGTCTCCTGGTATTTATAGATAAACAACTCAGCAGGGTGGGTATGTGCCTAGGAGTGCTCTGTGGGTCTTTCCAAGGACAAAGTTTACACCCCCTTCCTTGGACAGGCTTTGTTCTGAGGTAGAGGCTGGTTTTTCAATATCAGAATTTATGAAGGTCATTAGAGCCTCAGAGAAGGTCATTATCTGGCCTGGGAAGGCCAGGATTTATGAGGCGTCACTAAAGTTTAGAGAGGGCTTCTATCTGGTCAGAGAGCCAGGCACGGGTGAGTTCAAGGCACGGGCAGGCATTCCAAGCTAGTTCAGAATTTGCAGTATTTTATAGTAAAACTGAAAATATCTTTTCATGGCTTTGTGGCAAAATGGCTCCCAATTTTAAGAGAAAATCAGGCTGGGTCTATCGAAGGAAAGACAAATCCATGTCCGCCATTTTTGAGATCAAGAATCAGATCCTACTCAATGTAGAGTGGAGAGCATGACAAGGGCCATTCTTGATAATCCTGGAAATACCAATCTGACCTAAACCTTGCTTTTCTGTGTTTGTTTTGCTCAAATAGAGCAAAAGTGGGGATCATGGATGGCCAGATGCCTAGGATCAGTCTTAGTGTTTCACCCAATAAAGCTGGTCCCTATCCCAGAGGTGTCCCGAGATTGTGAGGAGGCTGTGGTTTGAGAAGCACTATGGTGAGTAGAGGGGTGGAGTGGTGAGGGTTTTTGCAGAGTTCACTGTTGGACTGTGTCTCCCAATAATCCATTTCTTCTTCAAGAACCTGGGAGACAGGCTGTTAGTGGGAGAGGAAGGGTCCTGGATTTAAACTCTGATGGACTTGGCTGAATATCTATGATAAAACTCACTGGAAGGCCAGGACCATGGGTCCATGGGAGCTCTGAGTTTAGTAGAAAACAGTGACCCTCAAAGAGCCCCAGTGTCCTCTAGTTCACTGTAGGATGAAGTTAAACCAGGGAAGGGAGAATACAGAGGTTTGGGGATTCTAAGCAGCTTGTCAAAAGCCTTCTTCAATAAGGTTTCTTCATATTGCTGTTGGTGCTGGGTCTTCTGACCTCAGAGGAGGTGCCTTCAGGTGCCTGACCATAGCTCCCCATCCCAGGGGTCCTTTTGGAACATTTGTGAAAAGAGGCACAAGATAAGTATAATAGGAGTGCTTCAAAGACATTGACCTTTATGCAACTCTAAGCTGCTATAGTCATTATGACCTTTATAGTGATCTCCAATGGACTGCTCTTATTTGTCACAAATGAGGTAGAGAGAAACCTACCCCCAACATTGGCATCCAAGCCTTCATCATTGTTTCAAGAAGAAAATTCTCCTAGGACTGTACCTTCATGGGATTGTTCCCGCTGATGCCATTTTCCTCTAAGCATCTGCTAGGGGAAGCCCCTGGAGCAATATTATCCCCAAGATACCTCAATGTGAATCATATCCAACCTCTTATTCCGTTTAAAAAGGCAAACAAGATCTTGCTAGTTTGCTTGCCGTATGCGGTATGTGGCAATTTATCATCTTTATTAAGCACCGTGAGTCGTTAAGAAAAAGATGAGATTTCCATTCCTGGAAAAATAGAAGATTAAAAAATCCAAAACCCTTTCATTGCCAAAAAACTAAAATGTTAGATAGTATATAAGACGCATAATGTTAAGTGCATGGATGGCCTTGCCCTTGCAAGAAAATGAAGGAAGTTTGCCAGAGACCAGGGATGCGTGGGGGTGGGAGTGAGTGCTGGTATGACTGGCCACCCGGAGGCATCTGCAGCTGCACATGTTAAAGGGGGCAAGGGCGCACACCTGTGAGTGTTGAAGTGGGGTCTTTGCTTCACCCTATGTGAGGCTGTGATCTATAGAGGTCCATAGTTCTGGTAAAAAGTTAACTAGAAAAAAAAAACTTCTATACAGACAGAATGCAAGGAAACTCATGTGTCTCAGTCTAACTTTAACTCTGGGAAAAGGGGAAAAATATCATCTGTGACTCTATGCATGTGGGGGCTGGCACCTGAATGCCACTATTTGCAAAGCCTGACAATAAA